CCCATCATCATAGTCTCTATTTTCTTGTCAGAGAAGTCAAGCATAATCAGAGCAACTAGGAAAGAACAATGTGAGGGAAATGATTCAGTTAGGAGGCGTTTTAGTGAGAATTGGCACATGGCTGAGGAGGAAAACTGAAGAAACTGTCCAGCCCAGAATTTTATCTTCAACAGTACTCTCAGGTATAGCTTCTCTTTTCATAGGAACCTTAGAATTTGAGGTTTTGTTTCTGGAGAAGAGTTTCAGTGTGGTTTTGAAGGCTCCTTTATGTTATATCAAAGTTGTTGGTAAATAAACATCATTAAATTATTGTGTTTTGAACAGTCCTTTGATGACTGTCAGCTGCACGGGCCTCTGCCTTCTCAGCTCTAAAGTAGCTGCCTTGCTCTAGACAATTCTGCTGCACAAGTCAAATCAGACATAGTTTTTTTACTTTCAAAATGCTAATTTTGCAGGAAGTCATGACAAATTATATGTAATGGTTTTTGAAATGTGGAGGTAACTGGTTTACAATTCAAATCAACAAATATTATCACATACTCTCTAAAAACTGAGATCATGAATGATTTTCCAAATTTTGTTGTTGGAAACACTTGATGTGGATTGCATTTCCTTGGGAGAAACTATACTCCATGGATGAATGGATAGAAAAATGGCAATGTGGAAGATGGAGGCATAGGTAGATACACTTTGCCTCCTCACACAACCAAAAAGAAAGACAACAATAAATTTAAAAACAAAAATTAACCAGAAAATTAGCCAGAAAATCGAATTGCATAAAAGTCTGACAACCAAGGAGTTAAAGAAGAAACATTCATCCAGACTGGTAGGAGGGATGGAGACAGGCAGCCGGCTGGAGAGGACCCATGGCAAGGAGGTGGCTGGAGGACCCGGCAGGCAAGGTGGAGGCTGGCAGACCAGGTGATCCCACATTTGCGTATGGATAAACTGGACGAACAACTGGGGAGTGAGACATACTGCGCACTCCAGGGTTCCAGTGTGGGAAAAGAAAGCCTCAAAACCTCTGGAGCTAAAAGCCTGTGGGGGTTGCGGCGGCAGGAGAAACTCCCAGCTTCACAGGAGAGTCCGTTGGACAGACCCACAGGGTCCTAGAATGTACACAAACCCACCCACCCAGAAATCAGCACTAGAAGGGCCCAATTTGCTTGTGGGTAGTCGGGGAAGTGACTGAAAGCTGGCCAAGAGCCAAGCAAGTGGCATTGTTCCCTTTGAGACCACTCCTCCACACACAGCGTCACGACTCAGCAACCTGGGTTGCCTCCCTTCAATACCTAAGGCTCCACCCCTTCCAACTTAACAGGTGTGCTGAGACAAAGAAATATGGCCCAAAGGAAAGAACCGATCAAAGCTCCAAAAGCAGAACTAAGCAATGAACCGATAGCTAACCTATCAGATGCACAGTTCAACACACTGGTAATCTGGATGCTCACTGAAGTGATTGAGTATGGTTGCAAAATGGAGAAAAAAGTGAAGGCTATGCAAAGTGAAATAAAGAAAAATATACAGGGAACCAACAGTAAATGGAAGGAAACTGGGACTCAAATCAATGATTGGGAGAAGAAGAGAGAGGTAAACATTCAACCAGAACAGGATGAAGAAACAAGAATTCAAAGAAATGAGAAGAGGCTTAGAAACCTCTGGGACAACTTTAAGCGATCCAATCATAAGGGTGCCAGAATGAGAAGAGGAAGAGTAAGAAATTGAAAACTTATTTGAAAAAATAATGAAGGAAAACTTCTCCAATCTGGCCAAAAAAATAGACTTCCAGGAGATCCAGGAAACTCAGAGAGTCCCAAAGAAGTTGGACACAAGGAAGCACACACCAAGGCACATCATAATGACATTACCCAAGATTAAAGATAAGGAGAGAATCTTAAAAGCAGCAAGAGAAAGGAGACAGTTACCTACAAAGGAGTTTCCATAAGACTATCAGCTGATCTCTCAAAAGAAACGCAGACAAGAAGGGGCTGGCAAGAAGTTTTCAAAGTCATGAGAAGACAAGGATCTACGTCCAAGATTACTCTATCCAGCAAAGCTGTCATTTAGAATGGAAGGGCAGGTAAAGTACTTCCCAGATAAAGTCAAGTTAAAGGATTTCATCATCACCAAGCCCTTATTATATGAAGTGTTAAAGGGACTTATCTAAGAAAAAGAAGATCGAAAAACTATGAACAGTAAAACAGAGGGGAGGGGGAAGAATGGGGGAAAAGGTACAGGGAATAAGCAGCATGAATAGTAGGTACAAAATAGGTGGGGAAGGTTAAGAATAGTATAGGAAATGGAGAAGCCAAAGAACTTATATGTACGACCCATGGACATGAACTAAGGGTGGGGGATGCTGGGGCGTGGGGTGGGGTACAGTGGAGGGGAATAAAGCAGAGAAAAAAATGGGACAACTGTAATAGCATAATCAAAAAAATATAGAAAAATAAGAAAAAAAGAAAAATGGCAATGTGTATTATTTGCTTATGTTTATGTTTCACTTTAGACTTTATAACTATGATCATAGCCCTCCAGTGGATATAGTAAATAAATAATTTCCTAAATTCACATCTCCTTAGGATTAATAATAAGAGTTGACAGTAGCAATTATAGCTTTGTTGTAACAAATTTAAAATACTACAGAGGTGTGGAAACTAAGGAGTAAAGATCATACCCCCAACTCTTCCACCCTAAATTTTACTTTTCAGAGATAAGTTACCAGTTGGTGCCTATTTTTCTGGATTTCCATTAAAAAAAACCCTATAAAACACATACACACTCACACATGGATACTGTAATTTCTTAAATATGAGAAAGGGGATTATATTATGAATGTTATTGTTTGCACTTTTGTTTTTGTTAATAAGTCGAAAACAGCTCCCATGTCAGGGCATGAAGACCTTTCCCTTTCACACCTGAATAGCATTCATCCTTGATCCGGAGTCTTCCAGGTACAAATGAACTCAGAGGATGAATCCCCTGAGCAGATGGCTGTTTAGTCTGACTCCTGTGTTCTTCTTTTTTAGTATCCGAGATTTACTCAAGTTCAAAGAAGAGGTGACAAAAGAGCGAGACCAGCTCTTGTCAGAAGTGGTGAAATTACGAGAGTCCTTAGCTCAGACCGCTGAACAGCAGCAGGAAGTGGAGCGGAGGAGAGAAGAGGCAGAGCACACCATGAGTCAGGTCAGCTCTGCCAGGGAGGGCACCATGAAGGGACATTACCTTCCAGAAGGACGTTTTGTCCTTCTCCAGTCTCCCTCTCTCACATTTACCCCCGCTGCCCAAAGGAAGCTTCCACTGTTCTGCTTGCTTCTCTGGTTGGTTCTTGCAAGAGCAGTCTGACTGGACTCACTCTTCCTGAAACTCTGTCTCAGAAGTCACTAAGGCAGGGCACTATTTACAAGTCTGGCCCAAGAAGGTACACCCCGGGAAGGCCAGGGTGCCCTGCATCAGGGGATGGTGAAAGTAGTTCCCTTGACCCATTTCTATTGTAAGTAAGCAGTCTAGCTGAACCCTTTGAATGCTTATATTAAGTCAAAAGTCAAATAGATAATATACAAGTCCCGTCTCTAGGAGAAAAACATGAGACTTTTTTGAGCATGAGGTAAGAGAAAGTCCTTTCATGGAATTTAGATATCATGATAAAACTATAGCGCTTTCTTTAGCAATATCCAGTACTCATGTCAAAAACAATGTCATATTTTGGCTAGTTGGCTACATTTTATTTTGTTCCCATTGATGGAGAGTTGGATGAATTCCTTCCATGTTTAACTTTTCTAGATTCTGGGTTTAATGGGATTTTATGCCTTCTTTCTGGATTTGTTTCCACCATCAGGGAGGACATTTAGTGTCAAGGCTCTGAAAAACAAGGCAGAATATTCTTGAAAAGTTTTTACATTGGGATTCAAAGAGAACTGTCCTACAGGGGAAATGCCACTACAAAAGTGCCTGCCCTGAAAATGAAGAATCTGAGAGGGAGAAGCTCGGCTGGTTGAGACCTGTCCTGGGGAGGGGTTCATCTCTTTCCTCCCTGTCCTTTCTGTGCCTGTAGTTCCAACAAGAAATCCAGCAACTTCAGAATGAAGTAATGAGGGAGACTCGGAAGAAGGAAAAGCTAGAAAAAGAGCTCAAGCAGATTCAGACGGACATGGACACCAGGCAGACGGAGATCAAGGCCCTGCAGCAGTACGTGCAGAAGAGCAAGGAGGAGCTCCAGAGGCTGGAGCCGCAGCTGAAGGAGCAGAAGGTGCATGGGGCATGGGCTGCCCTGGGGGTCCTCCCAAAACCAGGAACAGCGCCTTTCTTTGTGGTCCTTGGGCACATTCGGTATTTTCTTTGGAAAGCAGCAAACTCCTTTCACTGTAGATGTTGATAACAAGACCCTTAGTCCTTTCAATGGCTCTTATAGGTACATAGGTGCCCTCCTTTTTATTTTCAGCTCCGATAGGTTAATTTCATCTCAACCTTTTATTAATGTACGATATAATAGACATAGAAAAGTGTGTAAGTCACAAAAGTATAGCTTGATAAATTTTCTCCACTTGGTTACTTATATCCAGCCCAAGAAAGAGTACCCCAGGCCCCCCCTTTTTGCCCCCTCCCCCAGAGGTCACTTCCATGCTGAATGCTAAGCAGAGATCAGTTTTGCCCATTTTTGTACTTTACAGAAATGAAATCACACAGATGTACTCTTTTGTGTCTATCCTCCTTTGCTCTGTATTCTGTTTGAGAGTCATTGATGTTGTTGTCACATAGTTATAGAATTGTACTATCCAATAGAGTAGCCACTAGCCGCATGCAAGTATTTAAATTTATTAGTTAAAATTAAGTAAAACAAAAAGTTCACTTCTTGGAGTTGTATTAGCACCATTTCAAGTGCTCAATAGCCAGATGTGACTGTAGATACCCATATTGGAAAGCACGGATAGAGAATATTGACATTATGGCAGAAAGTCCTAATGGTCAAAGCTCAACAGAGTATTTACTCTCATAGCTGTATAGTATTCCATTGTGTGAATATAACATGATTTATTTTTAACAAGTTTGTTTGTTTGTTTGTTTATTGATTTCAATTAGCAATAATCCTGCCTCAGATAAACCTCACTGGCCATAACACTGCCACTGTGCAAAGCTTAACAGGTTTATTTTTAACTTTCAAGTTTACAGAACCATACTCAGACTTTATGTACTTTAAATAAGTCCTCTCCTTTTTTTTTTTTTAACATTTCCCCTGTAATAGTGGTTTAAGGTAACTTAGTAATAATTCTAGTCTGTCATTTCTCATTTCTTAAAGAAGCAATTCATGTAATTGAAAAAAAAGTCATTTCTTGAAAATATTTTCTCTGAGGAAGTTTCCAAAGAATTGCCAAGCCATATAGCATTTTTCTATTTAAAAAATAGATATTAGAACACATTTCTTTGTCAGTTGCTTTATTTATTTTACACAGAGCCAGAAATAAAATAGATAATACACAATGCATAGTATCCTTGAGAAAAATAGGAGACTTCTTTGAGCATGAAATCTGAGAGAATTTTGGACACCATGATAAAACTAGAGGGCTTTGTTTAGCAATATCCAGGACTCATGTAAAACAATTTCTTTTTTAGCATAGCCAGCTATATTTTATTTAGTCCCACTTGGTGGGAAATTGGATGGATTCTTTTCATGTTTAACTCTTGCTGTTGTGAAAGTTATACTGACCCTTGAACTGCATGGGTCTGAACTGCACGGGTCCACTTAGATGCAGATGTTTCTCAATAAATATACAGTTGGCCTTCCTTATCTGCTGGTTTCATATATGCAGCTTCAACAAACTCTGGATCAAAAATACTATTTTTGACCTGCAGTTAGGAATCTGCAGTTAGGGATCCACAGTTGCAGACAGCTGACTGTATGCATTGTTTGGTGCCATTTTATACAAGGGACTTGAGCACCATGGATATTGGTTTCCTAGGGGGTCCTGAAACCAATCCCCCTGGATACTGAGGGGCAACTGTAGTCAAGTTTTAGGGGAGTCAGAAGTTACATGAGGATTTTTGATTGTGTGGGATGGGCCCCCCGAAGTCTTGCATTGTCCAAGGGTCCGCTTTATGTGTCTATCTTCTTTCTTTTTTTCCCTTCAACTCATTTGATATCCTTCCATCTCCCCAGTTTTCTTCCAATAGAAATGGCCCCCTTAAATCTAATCCTCTGTTTTTATAAAATTTATAGTCAGGTATGGAAGAGGAAGAACCGGTTGATACTGAACACAGGCAGATAGAAATCATTCCACTGCTGTCTCATGGCTTTGACTTAAGTTGGATTAAAGGGGAATTGTCTGCATTGCTGTTAGTGAATGGTTCTGTTCCGGAAAATGTAGTAGGCACGTTAATGCAGGATTTGCTTCTGAAGACGTAGCTTCTAAGACCCACAGCAGATAAACCTTGTTTGAATCTCTAACTCATTTGCAATGATTATAGCAATTGTTGCAAATGCAAAGCCTGCCAAATGGCAAGCAGGTATTAAAATATTTATCTACCACCTGTGAACACGACTTCCCAAGGCTCTCAGAAAAAAAACAATTCTCTCTGTGTTATTCATTATAAGGCATCATTTCCTTCAGCCATTTAACATTCATTATATTTGAGTGGGTTAGTGCTTTCACTGGGGATAAAGAACCATTTCTACAAAGACAAAAACAGTGTGGCTGCTGTGATTATCCCAGGAGGTTTGCGAGTCTTCCTGTGTGGATACGCAGATACTGTAATCAGATTAAAAAGCATCAACCAACTCTTTCTGCCTCTTCCAGATATTGAATGAGAGAGCTGCAAAGGAGCTGGAGCAGTTTCAGATGAGAAATTCTAAACTTCAGCAAGAGAACGAACACCACACTTTGCTTTGTGAGCAGCTATGCCAAGAAAACCAGCAGAAGGCACTGGAGCTCAAAGTAACCATAAAGTGATAGGTCTCTTACCTAGCACTCCCTCCCTCATTCCCTTTTAATACAAGGTTGCCGTGCATTGAGCCCTTGGTTCTATAACCTGAATTAGCCTTCATATATCAGACAGGCACAAGCCTACTGTGATTGCTTTATGCCTGGAAGCAGACAGTGCATAACTTCCATTCTTACTTATAAAATTGCAAACCTGATTATTGATCATATGATTATGCAAATGCTTTCCAAAGCTAGCTCCGGTGTTCATCTCTGTAACTAAGCCTTGCAAGTCACCAGTTGTCCAAAGCTAGCAACCATTTACATGAGTGAATAGGAAAGAAGTCAGATTACATTTTATTACTTGTATGGAGAAGGTGGAACAGGTAGGGTGGGGGATGGACTGGTTCTGCTGGGTATTTACTTCCAGGATTGAAGAAGCATGATTTTCACTCTGTCCAATGAAAAATTTCCTATTCTTTTCCCTCTTCTCCTTGAAGTATGCTTGCAGATTAAGTCTGGACAACAGTTTTCTACTTGGGTACATATTTTATGAACAAAGCAGCTTTATGTTTATCACTAATTCTAAAAAATCTGTAAACCCTACTCTGATTATGTTAGAATATTGGGTATAAAGTGAGTGACCAATCAAGAATAGTACTTAGATTCAGCTAGTGAGTCATACAGTTTTTGCATCATTGGCCCTTTTGAGAATTGATCCTAAGAGTATGCACATGCGTGCACGCATGCACACACTTGCTGCCCATCTTGTATCTCATCTTGCACGCCATCTCAGAGGTCTCCACAATGTTTCCGAATCTAACCATGGGCTCTGGATTAATAATTATTGAACTAGCACATATTGAAATTGAAAGGGGCTTTTTAGGTCAATTGATATGGACTCTGTAAGACCTGAGACTGAGGAACATTTGAAACAGCCCAGAATGATTTGGCCAGAAACCATTCTTTATGAGGATGCTATAAGTGGAAATGAAACGATGAGTTAAGACAAAATTATGTATGAGCCCCTAAGGTGAAATTAAGGTACAAGTACTTATGCCATTAATTCTCTCCTTTGATAACATGAATGGGGCACCTTGAACGATGATAGATTTTTGTTACCAGATTCTGAATGGATGGGATGCTACTTCTACCAATAACCTGAGGATAACTTGCCCAGCTAAGTTCCTTCTCTTCAATGTCAAGAGCAAGGGATAATTGCTAACCCTTATTTGCAGAAGTGTCATTGATTGCTTTCCCAGTAGTTTCTAAGGATGGCAACATTTTGAAATATGAATTTAATTTGAATTTTAAAAAATTCATAAAACTTGAAGTTCATAGGCAAAAATCTGGTGCTTTGTTGTGCTAGAATTGTTGTTTTGTTATCTGTGGGTATTATGTAGACTTACATATTAATGTCGCCCTGTCTACCTGCCTATATCCACCCATGGATTAACATCTTCTGAGGTTGGAAAACACTCCCCCTCATGTATGTAATTGCACTACAGTGGCCATGTGGGTACAAAAGTGTATTTGAATATTTTATGGTATGTTAATAACCTTCTGAGAGAGATCACTTTGTGAGTCTGTGTAAACTGCTAATCGAATATGGCATCTGTACACAAAATTCACATTTGCGATACACACAACTCAGCATTCTTATCTTGTTTGATTCAACATTTAGGGGTGCCTTGAGACATCAGGTTTGATTAGTCTTTTCATTATTTATAGCTTATGTAGCCACATATTTTCTTCGGAGAATAGGGCTTTTCAATTTCCCTCAAAACCAAACAGTATGTGTTTTGATTTAACCCGACAGAACAACTTCCAACTGACATAGGAAGAATTTTCTTTTCTTGGCTCTGAGTTTACCATCATCCAGTCACACACCCTCTATTTACTGAGTGTCCCTGGTTAATTCTCTCTCTCTAATTACAGGCCAAAGAGGAAGAAATTAGTCAGATGCGCATTGACATCGGGAAGCTCAACAAAATCAGAGAGCAAATCCATAAGAAATTGCATCAGATTGAAGATCAAAAGGCAGAAGTGGAACAGACCAAGGACACTTTAAAAAATCAGATCGTGGGATTAGAGAAAGGTAAACCAAGAATCATTTCGTACGTTAAAAAAATCTTTTTTTAAATTGTATTTTTTCCATTACCATTTAGCTCCCTTAAACTCCTCTCCCCGCTGTAATCAACACTCAGTTTTCCATGTTCATCATTTTGTGCTTTTTAAAACATTCGTTTACAAACACTTCATTCAGCAACCCAGGGACCTGTGGGTGCAAACCCAAACCAGGCCAGATGAAATCAGTAAAACCATGTTCAAACTGGTGGGTGGGCAACAGGGAGGGAACATCACTCTGAATACCTTAACAAATTCTTCCACAGGCTATATTGGCACACGGTAAACCCAGGCCAAAGTATTGCTCAGTATTTGTCAGTGGAGTCACTGTGAGGTCTGGGTTCGACATGACCTTTAGCATTAGTCCCTTTTTCCACAGAGGACAGAGGAAAAATTAAAATGAATGTCCCCCATTAGTGATATTTGAGGCAATGTTTTTCCAGGATCAGTGGGACAAAAATAAATGGCTTCTAATTTCTTTTCTCTGGTAGTACTTTGCCACAGGGCAAACATTTGTTCTATTAGCTCTTCCATTGGCCTGTGGAGGAAAAATTTAAGTGCTACAGGAGGCCATAGAGTACAAAAAAATCATGAAGGATACACACTCTGGAGTCATGTCTGCCTAGGTTCGGATCCCACCTCCATTATATCTAGCTGTTGGGGGATAAAATGAACTAATACACATAAAACACATGGGGACAAGTGCCTAGCACATAGTAAGTGCTTAGTAAAGGTCATCTATTCTTATCGAGCTATAATACTATTTATATAAGTAATAAGACAGACTACCATCTCATTCTGAAAAGAATATAATTGAAAATAGGATATACTAGCTAAATTGAGTGTGTCAGAAAAAGCTCTGGACTTACAGGCAGAGGATAGCGTCTGAATTCTGACTAGACCAGAATATGTGAGCCAGGAACACTTCATTTGCTGTGCGTTGTAATCACTGACAACATACATAAAAGCATAAAATATATATATAGAGATAAAATCTAAATCTCCAGATATGATTATTAGAAATATTTGTCATGAACTTTGAAAAGTGCAGCTATTTTTTTCTTCTGAGACATCTAGGAAAAATCTTTTATCTTG